GATTCCTGTTTTGTCAATCTGCAGTTTTAGGGTTGTGGCCTTCATTACAATACTAGTGTGATCTGGTAATCTGTCATCTATATTTTTTGAAAGTGTCATTTCTCTTTGGCAGAAAATATTCCATCATTTTTTGCACACTTGTCTTTATYACTTTAGTATTTTGTTACATAAACAATATTGTATATAATAGTTGGCAGGCAAATCTACAATCCAGTCRTAGATTTTGGGCATTTATTTTTGTGTGTAATGACTACTTTGACTAAWACTTACAAAATGCATGTGCTTGGTATTAGTGTTGAATTTTAATTCCACCAGTCATGCAACCAATTAGTCTCGCTCGCATATGCATGCTGTAGCCCTAGTAGAATAAATCAAATTTTTAATCCCACGAGTCATTACATGGTAAAAAGATGGCCCAAAATCCAAGCACAGTAGAAAGAAACTTACAGTGTTAACTTAGATCTTGGTCCCCAACAGGAGATGCTTAAGTATGATATGCATGTGAATCAAAAGCAAATTTAAACAGGATTCTAGACATATGGGGGAGTTGGGGGGTCTTAGTAGTGGAATGTATCAATATATGTGTACAAATATAGGATTTGAAATGTACAACTGGATTGTGCTTTTTTGGCTTGTTGGCTGAGCATATACAATATTTGGGAGTGTTGGCTGAGCAYATACACTATTTGGGAGTTTGTCCCAAGGAGTTTTAGTAAATAAGAAAGCTTCTAGTACTATTGATCTTCTATGAAGCCATTTGTTCTTAAATCACCAAGAAAGCTCCCCCAGATTGTATCATATTGAAACCTGAGGTTTGTTCTTTTAAGTTCAAGAAATATGTGTTTTTTTCTCCAAAGATAGAAATCTACTGGTGGGTTGAGTTGAATCAATTAGTACTTTTCATTTTCAAGTACCACCACAACCACTAGTCCCTGATAGAAAACAGATGAACTGCTATTTATTGTTCATGGTTGCCTTGAGATCTTATGTTGTACTTATTGCAGGAATTTCCAATCTTTTTATGGAGTCCCTCCTTTTTTAATTCAATCAGATGAATGAACATATWTTTTAGTGTCAAAACAAAAGCAGCAACAATCTAGCTAGTATGTCACTTCTCGTTCCCCACCATGTTGAAAACTCAAACTTACAAAGTAGCAAAAAATGTCTCATGATCTAGAACRAGAGGGACCATGTTGGCCAAAACCATAACTTCTTGGAGGAACCTTCCTCCAATGAGATGTGATGGAGGCAYGGTCATTGAGGTAGGTGGGTTGGTTGGTTGATTAGTAGTTGAAAAACTTTGTCATKGYGGTTTGGAGGGTTCAATTGTTGGTAACAACAGGGGCCAGTGAAGGTGCTGCCTGGCAAATGAGACAGTTTGTGTCATCCCTTCTTGGAGTATCCATCTCTGCAAAGGCTTAGTGAAAGTTTCTCTATATTGCTATCTACTGCCTTGATACAAATGTCTTTGCCACTAAGTTTTGCAATCACATCCTACCAATTTGCTGTGCTACAGTTCTCAAACAACAGAAGTATCACTTTCATGACTAGTTATGCTGTGTGTGYCCCCACCATAATGACAGTACTATCCAGCATATCCTCCACTGTGTCTCATGCTAGTTGACTTTCTTGGCAGTGGAATTACCATACTTTCATCTTATCTTTGAGAAAGGCAATGACAACTATTGGATTCCTAACAATTTCCACTGGAACTTTGCCCAGCTGAAACGAAGTCTAGAGCAGTGAGAATTCTTCAAGGTATAGCCAATACTACCTAGAGAAAGTACTCTCATGTTCTGTACAAAGTTCAAGAGTGCATTCACTTAATTCATAATCCTCTGCATCTATTTGCAAGTGGATTTTGTTTTAGATTTGGCATTTTCTTTGAGTTCAGGATAATCACTAAAATGGAGGCATACAACATATTTGAGCTAGTCAAAAAATTAATCTTTCTAGTAGTCAAAGAAGAAAAATATTCTGTCATTACCTACCTACTAGTATCCAGTGACATGAATGCTTTCCAAAAAGTTGTTCCAGAAGAGATGAAATGGAGTGGTAGCTACTGATTTGAAGATTCTACTGAAGGGATTCTTATAAGAGCAGGTCTGAACAGGAGTTTGGTGAAAGAATGAGGAAGACTAATGAAGCAGATACTGTTTTGAGGAAGCCTCAATCATCTTAGCAAGAGAGGAGACTTGAAAAAGTAGTATCCATACAGAAGCACTACTACCAAAGAGGTGGAAGGGAGGAAAGGGATGTTCCCAGGAGATATCCATCAGAGAGTTGGGATCAGTATGGATTGGAACAAGAAGGATGAGATCTTGTCACTGTTTGATTGGTCTCAGGAAGAAGAGAAACAGCTCAGAATGCTGTCATGGAGCAAGAGCTCCGCCCTATAACAGCAGTTTGTCAAACAGGAAATACAAACATCTATGTTATTCCTTTGAAGTAGTATATGCTATTGCTCTCAAACCCTCAGACAGTATCACTCAAACTCCAACAGGTGAATGAAAGTTGAAATATTATGGATATTTACTACTAAACAATACTATTTTTACTGAGTTTCAGCATWAAAAAATTGTATGAACCAACTACCTGCTAGACCAATATGTTCATTGGGATGTTGAGATACATTGTACCAAAAACTAGGTCTTGATCTGATGTTTACTTGCTTTTTTTACACAAAGGGACAARCCACCACTACTACCAGCTACAGCCAGGGTCAGCCAACATCATCTCTTCCTGAGGGTGCTTGCTGTGGTGACAAGAATGGTAGTAGATTTTTCATACCTAGTATTTGATTTGTATGAGCCGAGTAGTACTAGTGCTGTATGCAGATATGAATTTGTGTTTAAAGAACTTTGAGCCACAATTAACCAACCATTTCTGGGAGAAGAATAGGTCTRGTTGCGATAACATTCATTTTCTAGTGCTCTTGGATAATAGCTGATTTGTTAACCTTATCAGTGCATGTAAATTGATGTACTAACAATTCTTGTGTTTGGAAAGTGTCGAAACGTCTGCTTCGAAATATAGATAAAAAAGTAGGCGTGGCGAACTATCTGTCGTTGCCGAAGGAGACGCCTTCGTATTTGTCACTCTCTGAATGCTGTACGGGCCTCGTGTGAATGGTTTAACGGGTGAAGAACGAATAGAAAAGCTGACTTGTATTTTTGAACCCCTGCGTTCTTTAAGGTGCCGATGAAATTGCCTCAAAAACAATAGCAACGGCCACGGCACCGGGATCGGGGGTTCCCGTCAGTGTTTCTTCCGACAAATAATTCGATCTGCCCGCAGAGGCCACTTTCATGTCTGCGGTTCCGTCGGATCCAAGTTTTGCCTTYTCGCAAGCCTCGGCAATCGAGCCGCTCTCGACCAGCGACGTTGCTGCAGGGACCAGAGCATCCAGCATGGTTCGAGAACCAACGGTTGCACCACCGTACAGGCTAATGGCGTCGACACCCGCCTTGAAGGCCTGGCTCATTTCCGCCGCACCAATGGTTTCGCAACGCGACAGCGTAGAAGAAATTTTTCGAAACATCAGTTCCAGCAATATTCCCGATGTGCCACCCATGGAGTCCGAGACGGCATCTGCCATGGCGGAAAACATAGAAACGGGATGGTCTGTTGGAATCGTGCCCTTCGTAAKGCGTTCTTCTATTTCCGTCGCTCCCCGTTTCATCGTGATGCCGCAATCTCCATCACCAACAATGGTATCGTACTTCGTAAGAGTTGCCTCTGCTTCACCGAGACTCTTTACCGCTTTCAATACCAGGGTCTTTGCCGTTTCGCCAAAGTTGGGAATGGCAACAGGCGGCAGTGTCAGCTTCGGTTCGGCACTGTCATCAACTACAACCTCGGGACGCTCCGTGCTCGAGAGACGAATCTTGTCACCCTCTGCCTTCCAGATGTCACAAGTGCTCCATGCCGGAGCGTCGGTGGGTGCGTCCAAAAGAGAGATCATTTCTTCGCTCGCGCACGACAAGTTGAGAATCGTGACCGAAGCCCCGTGCATGTCAAACGACGTCATGAAGCTGCCCACCAGAAGGCGCGTCACCTTGCACCCGTTCGCATCGCCTTCGATGTACTTCACACAGGCGTTGGCCAAAATGGACATTTCGAAATTGGAGGTTCCACCCAGGTTGTTTACCAAAACGCAGAGCGAATCTCCCTTCTCGAAGAGGGGAACGATCTCTCCGCTCTTGTTGGTCCGTCCGTACTCGCGAATGGTGTCGACCATTTCCTTTGCCATCTCATCGGCGGTCAACAGGGGCGATTGCTTCATTCCCGCTTCGCCGTGGATGCCGAGCCCGATTTCGATGGTTTTGTCGTCCAGGCGGTCGTTGACGCTTTCGGCACCCGGTATCGTCACGGAATCGAGGGCGACGCCCAGGGTTCCGATGCAACCGTTGACCTCTTCCACGAGTGCCACGACTTCGTCGAGGCTCTTTCCCGCCACGGAGGCCGCACCAGCCACCTTGTGCACGAGCACGCAGCCCGCGACCCCCCTGGCTCCCGTGATTCCCTTGGTGCGTTCCAGGGCGCAGTCGTCGGCCACGACCACCATCCGCGACAGGATCCCTTCCTGGTTGGCCTTTTCGCAGGCCATGCCAAAGTTGAGGCGGTCGCCGGTATAGTTCTTCACCACCAGCAGGATTCCCGCGTTCTCGGTCATGGAGGCCGCCGCGGCCCGGATCGCTGCCAGGATGCTGGCCACGCTGGGAGAGGCAAAGATCCCCCCGCAGATGGCACCYGAGAGCATCCCGTTCCCGATCCAGCCGGCGTGGCTGGGTTCGTGGCCGCTGCCTCCCCCCGACAAGAGCTGGACGGCGCTTCCGCCGCAGGGGGGCGTCGTGGTCAGCACGACATGGTGGTTTTGAAGCTTTTGGAGGCGGTTGGGATACTGGAGCAACAATCCCGAGATGAACTCGTCGACGGATTCTTTCSGGTCGTTGAGAATCTTCTTTGGCTTGGGCATGTCAACGGTGGCAGGGTGGTAGAAAGGCAAGGTTTGGATATGAAAACAAGGACCGGTACGGTGTAACAGTGACCTCGTCCTTCGGAAGAATTTGTTGCGAGTCGGTGGTTCCTTCCTTGGATTGTACGATTCTGCTAAATTACTGTACAAATTATTAGTCTGCCGTGTTGTTGCTCAGTATGTATTTTACGTACCAGGTGCTGGTACCGTACGGTAKGTGATTAGATTTTTTCTCGAAGATCTTGTTGTTTGTGCATTCACCACGTACGTACTTGTTCCTACCGGTACACGAGTACGGCAAATACGTACAGCTCGTACCGTACTCTCTAACTCGTAACATGACGACTACGGTAGCGTAGGTAGAGACATTTTTTGTCCTGCCGATCTGTTGAACTGTACCGGTAGAAGTATCGGTTCGTTACGTAAGCCATAGAACCATAGCATAGAGTAAGTAAATAATGTACCGTTCGTACGGTACTACCGTACAAGGCAGAAGAAAACCTGAACCCAAAACAAGCAGGGGTCATAATTTAGACCCCTGAAAACAAGTACAATACGGTACCTGGGGTCATAAATTTAGACCCCTGTACAATACCAGGTACCATACCGTACGTTACGTAAAGCAGTCTACGATCCCCGTCCTCTTCTCCCGCGCCGCCCGCCCGCGGCCACGAACGAGCTAATCCCCGTCGAGCGCGGGTCGGGCTTTGGGGACCCCTGCCGGCGCTCTTATTTAGAATAATGCACCGTACGTTGCTTTGCGTATACTCGTAGGGATGGATGCCGTTGGAATGCCGACAATTTGAAAGTGGAGTGAGTCGACGGTCATCGTGATTAAAATATCTATGACCAAAATCATGTGGGTTCGCCATCAACCCAGTTTTTCGTAGKTTTTCTCGTTCTTCTTTGAATCGGATGCGTCATGGTTCTCCATAATTTGTTCCCTCCACTATATTGGCAGCAGGCAGTTCGCTCTCGAAGCAGTTTTGCAAGCTGTTTGTAGTTTTTTGGTACTCCAAGAACGTGACAACGATGATTTGACCGGCATATCCATTCTTTTTACAACGACGAACACATGATGGATGAGGAATTAAAATGAGAAKTGATGTTTGAAAAAAGAAACGGCGAGTGTGACAATCGGAACGAGACTTTCAAAAAAGTCGTTGCCATCAAAACACAAACGAAACAACCAACGGCATCGATACCACCATTAGCAAAAACAACAACGACGGCATCCCACAAGCTGCGACTGCCACTGTTGCAACTACAGTAGTAGATACTYGCCGTGCCTTCCACGCGTATTAAATACGAGCGATCTTCTGGAGTTCTGGTTCAACCATCAGCGCGCGCGGTTCCTGGCCTTTAAAATTCCTTCGTCCCGGAATTCTTTTCACGACCCGGTGCAGCACGGTTCGGTACGGCATCGCATCGCATCKSATCWSATCACATCACACCACACCACACCACACCACACCACACCACACCGTGTTGAGGTGCACGCTGGGGAATCCAAACAACTCTATCGATTGGTTCAAARTCCCACAATTGTAGCATCTTCATTCTTTTGATTTTTACCACCACAAAGAGACCACCAAAATGACAAGATTGGCAATACTTGCAGTCACTCTCGGTGCCCTGACGTGGTCCGGGGACGCATTTGTTTCAACAACTGCAACTGCTGCGAGTTCAGAAACAACGACAAACGAGCCACCCTCCCATCCGCCACGATGCCATGCGTGCCGAGCATCCAACCCCAACCCTAGCACGCTTCCGAGAAAGCGAGAACGGCCARCATCGGTACCGGTAGCATCGGTGCATCCACCCTCTGGCTCTCCCGCCCTTTTCTACCTCTCCTCGCACCGCCGCTCTTCCTCGCTYAAGGCGGCCCTGCTGAACGACTCCTCRTCTCCGGGGCGGGGAAAGCGCGGCCGACCAAAGCCCGACGGTGCCGACAAGAAAGGCCCGGGGTGGCACCGGCGGATACTCGGCAARATCCCGTGGAGACGGCAAGCCGGGGGACCCACGCGCGCGTCCTCCTCCTCGCTCCCGTCCGCACCCGTCGAGCACGAAGAACCGGACGTCGTGGTGGAGTCCTTCGCCGTGTATCGGGACGCCTTTGTCTCCCAAGACTTTGATGCGCTGACCCCCGAGTCGGTCCTGCCCGTGGTGCAAATCGACCCGAAGGCCGGGAGCAAAGCCGGGTTCGTGCTCGAGAAGGCCCACCGCAATTCACCCGAGGCGGCTCCGGTGGTCCTCGATTCGGAATTCTCGGGGGTGTCCATAACGCCAGCGCTGCCCAGCGCGCCCCGGAAAACAACCAAGGCGAGAAAACCATTCAGTGACACCAACACCAAAACCAACACCAGTCCAGTCACAGACACAAATGAAAACACAATCGCAAACTCCAGCAGAAAGGGGATGGTAGCGCGAGTTTTGGAAGGCATCCTGACGGAACGAATCGGTCAGCGATGGACCGTCGAAGAGCCCGAGGGTTTGGAGGTTGACGTTCGAACGTCTCCGAACTACAACAACATCGCAAAGCTGTTGTTCCGAGGGCTTTATCGTGCCGATGCCACGCTTTCATCCGGAAGAATTGTCTTTCCCAACATTCGATTCTCCAGCGTGCGTCTCGAAATGGAACAAGTAACACTGAATCTGATGGGATTCTTTTTGCATAAAGACGACAACAACAACAACAACAACAACAACAAGCACAAGCACAAGGTACAAAACCAAAACCAAAAGCAGAACCAAAACAAACAACCGACCGATATGGTGCGGTATCCAAACCAGTTCGACATCCACATCGAAGATTTGACCATGTCTCGGCACGATTTGTTGTTTTCATCGTGCGTGAAAAACGGACTGCGAGGACTGCTCGTCAGGGTTTTGAAAGATCGTGGCATTCGATCGAATTCGATTCGGATTACTTCCATYGATATATTGGTAAGCGGACGACATGTTCTGTATTCGTAGTATGCTTTTCGGAAAGGAAGAAATGCATACAGTCTAGCATGATTGTGTGCGTCGACTGAGTCCCTGTGTTATCTACTTTGTTACTGACCAAGAAATTCTCTCCACTTTCATCTATTCTGTTCTATTCTGTTTTGATTTTCCTTTCGCCACGCCTACTGCAGCCAAACGGTAAGATTTCCTGCACCGGCGAGGCCAAGACACACTTTGCTTCCGCACCACCCGTGAACTTCGAGGTTCGCTCCGGAATTTCGTACAGCAACCGGGGGCACGTGCTGACCTTTCCGGGACTSGAGGTCTCGCTGAACAGCGACATCGGCCTCTTTGTCCCGGTCCACCCGACGCTCGACCTGGACGTCGGCCACAACACGAAATTCCGCAGCATCGTCATCGACGGCCGCAAGAAACGCGTGAAGATTGCCGCCAGCGTGACCATCACGCCCGATCGGACGCGGCTGATGACGCAAGACTACGTGCAAACCAGCGAGGCCTTTGCGGCGATCTTCTTTTACGATGTTGGCCAGTGGCTGACRCGCCTCGGTAGATTTTCAAAGTAATCAAACCGATGCACCCAAGCGGATTACGACGAAACCCTTTCTACCTCTGACGATCCGGTCGATACGAATACAACACAGTGCCAGCGGGAACGGTCTCCTCCAATCTCGTCGTATGCRGGCACATAGTCTCCACATTGGGGAAATAAAACCATACAGAAGGATCATAACAATAGAATAWTTTTTGACCACAGCATTCGTACGGCATTCTGGAGTCCTTCGCTCGAGTTTGCGTGACTTCAGTCTTTCCAAACAAAACGAGTTCGGCGGCCTTAGCTACCGGAATCGGGATGCCGAAAGGACGCAAGCGGTGGAACAATGTCGATACGAAAAAAAGGCATTGTTTAAATTTAAAAGACACGGAATGATTCATCTACACGACCGCACCGCGAGAACCTACGGAACGAACGGAAGCCCGGTTCGGGTTCGGCCCTGTTGGTTCCGAACTCCTGGTTGGCTCCCTCCTCTCCACCGGCCCGAGGTCACAAAACCTTGCCACGCACCGCCGGTGCGGTCTCTATAGTACGGTACGGTACGGTACAGTGATGTACTGTATTTTTACAATAGTTGGATTTGATCGTGGTTCCAAAGCGGAAGCGTGGGCGCCCCCGGGTCGGGTCGCAAAAAAAAGACCAACGCCCCGGCAGACCGTCTACTACCCCGATTCGCGGGCAAGAACACGGTTCTCGCAGCGGCGTCGAAACCGCCCCCCCGGTTCGGCAGCCCCACCGCCCCTCGTTTCGCTGGCCTTGGAAGGGTTTGCGCACCTCCGCCCCGCCCCGCCTCGCCTCGCCTCGCCCGCCGTTCCGGTTCGTTAGTGCTTGTTCAGGAGCCGCACCAGGGCCCAGAGGTTCAAGAGGCCCAGGGTTCCCACGGCCGCGTACAAGAAGATCTTGTTGTAAAAGGCCTTGCGGCCGATCTCGGTCAGAACCAGGCCCGCCTGGTGCACGAGTTCCCTGGTCCGGACCAGGTTGGTGCTCGCACCCCGGAGCTGCTCGCGCTGGTGGTACATCTGCGTGATGGTCGAGTTTCCGATGCGCTCGGTTTCCATGGTGAGCCTGTTGCGGGTATTGCATTGCATTGGATTGCATTGTATTGGATTGCATTGTATTGTTTTTGGTTCGTTGCGCGGAAAGAAAAAAGTGGGGGCATGGCGGTTTGGGTTAGGGTCGGTACGGAATGCAAGGGACAACTGAGAAAACCAACACGACGAGGCAAGGCAAGGCAAGGCAAGGCAAGACAAGACAGGGCAAGACAAGGCACACTCTGGCAAACCACGGCAAGCCCAGGCCAGGCCAGGCCACGCAGAACCCGCCACCCCGGCAACGGAAGATCCGCGGTCTACTCACGAGAGGGATTCCCTCAGCATGTCCTCCGAGCTCCCGATGAGGGCCTCCATGTCGGCCGAGACGGGCAAGCCGGACCCGTCCAGCGAGGGCGCCTGGTAGAAGAGCTCCTCCCGGTCGCCGCTTCCGGCCCGGCCGGAGGCATCGCYTCCGCTGCTTTCCCTCCCCAGGGCCCGTTCCACCTCCCTGGCCAGGGGCTGGACGTCCCGCTCGATCTTCTGGGAGGCCTCCCGGATCTTCAGGGGGTTTCCCTCCACCTCGGCCAGCCCCTGCAGGGCGGTCGCGTGCTTCCGGGCCTGCCCCAGGAGCCGCTCGCACTCCCGCAGGGTCTCCRGGGACCGGGTGCCCGCCGCCAGAAAGCTCCGGATGCGGGAGAGGGAGGCGTTGTATTCCTGGAGGGGAGGGTCGGTCGGTCGGCATTGCATGGCATGGCGTGGTCGAAACGAACACACCGGCGTTTGGTACAAACGAACGAACAACAGGGGGCGGTGTGAGTGTGCATCGATCGATCGATCGATCGAACCAGAACAACCACGCTTTTCTTTGCTGCTCACCCGTTCGTAATCCTCGTAGGATTCGGTCATGGTGATTCTTGGATTGCGCTGTATTGCGTTGTACCGTGCTGTTGTTGTTGCTGTTGCTGTTGTTGCTGCTGCTGCTGCTGCTGCTGTTCTTTTGTTTCGTTTTGTTTTGATTTGTTGCCTGCCTGCCTGCCTGCCTGTCTACCTGTTAGCGTTCCTCGGTGGAATTCGCAAGATGTCAACGCTCGTATCGTATTCAAAGGTCTCTATCCTCCCGGTACCTCGGTTGCTGGTATGCTATGCCGTCGGCTCCGGTCCGGGGTTGCGGGATCGTATCTGGAAGAACGCTGGATCGTTGTGATTGTGATGGAAATGGTGTTCGTGTGTTCGTGGGGTGTGCTTCGGCTTCCACGCAGTTTCCTAGTACAGAACTACCGTACCGTACCGTACTGTTACAGCACCATAGAGTACAGCAATACCGTGGTGTACCATACAGTACTTTACTTACGTACCGGGCTGTAGGAATTCAAAAAGAAAAAACCAGAGCATCCAACAGAATGTTCATACGGTACCATACGTTACGGTACCATACCGTACCGTATGTCCTCCCTGTTGCGAGTCGATCGAGCACGCAACATGCTCGTACGGTACGGATGTTCCATACGTACAGTACCATGCCATACTCCCGATCGTGCCGTCGAACGGTTTCGCCGTTCGCCGCATCCCAATCCGAATCGACTGGTTTGATTAAAAACGGTACCGGGCACGATCCCCTCTTCTGCTCCTCACGACTGGTGTGCATGGCGTCTCACCCTTCTTTTCTTTTTTCTTACCACGTATCTACGAGTACTTGTACTTTGTACTGCACTTCTACGATAATAGCGTCCATGTTTCGAAGGGTACGTACGTACGGTACTGTACGGTACGGTACAAAATCTTTTTTCGTTGATGTTAGCATTGCATTGTACGGTACAAGTACTTCTACCGGTACGGAACCAAGAATTACAGAACGAATGGAATTTTTATCATGACTACAGGTACTGTACTGTATTATTTAGAAGCATACGAACCAGTAGTAAAGTAGGGTGCTTCTACGWTACATTGTTCAGAACTACGAGTAGGCCGAGTCACCAAAATTTCAAATATTGCTGTTGTGGCAGCGATAGTATCGACCGGTAGGGGTACCTGGCACAAAACACGAYTTGCGCCCCGTCTCTAGTTACCGTAAATTGAAAGTTGCCGACTCTGGTAGGTACGATTAACTGCACCGGTACGATACGCACTTCTACCACCTACCGTTTGTTTTTGTCGTTGTCCTTGTTGTTGTTCTTGTTGTAGACTTCTTCTTTGCTGTCGTTGTTGCCGCCGCTTCCGGTCTCTTTTTTCGATCGTTGGTCGGTGCAGCTCCGGCGGGAACCACAACCACAACCACAACCACAACCACAACCAAATCTCGGCCAATCCTATAGCTTGGATGCAACCCCGTGATCATTCGAGCGAGTCTTCAACACCACGAAGCTCTCAGGCTCGAGAATGGAACCATCGATCGCAATGATGGCGGAAACGCCGCGACGAAAAAATCGCCGGCGGGATTCCTTTCATCGTCATCAGCATCAGCATCAGCATCAGCAGCACCAGTACCACCATCAGCAAGAAGAACAAGAACCCCGGCACCGCACGGGGCAAAGCCGTCGCTACGACGCCTTTGATTCGTACTCGATTTCGTCGTCCTCGAGCGGCGGAACGTCGTCCCCGCCGGGCGAGGTTCCCCCCCGGCGGTCGCCACCGCTTCTCCAGCAGCGACGAGAACGAGAACGAGAAAGAGACCCTCCCCACGGGGGGACCGGCGGCTTTCCCGCCTGCGACCAAGAGATCGGGGGCCTTTCCCTCCACGGAAGCCCGACCCCCACCACCACGATGGCAAAGGCGCGTTCCCCGCGCTCCGGCAAGCTGGGCCGGGCCCGGAGGAGGGGCCACCGGTCGAGCGGGACCGCGGGMAGCGGCAACGGGGGCGGGAGCAGCYGCCAGGCCCACTTCAACGCCCACGGCCACAAGAAGCTCTCCGGGAGCGGGGCCATGCCCCGATCGGGATCCCTGACGTCCATCGGGAGCGACTCGGTCTCGGAGCTCTCGCTCCTCTCGAGRTACACGGCCGGATCGAAGAGCAGCGGGACCAGCCTCTCGCGGAGGGGGGGCAGCACGAGCATTGGCAGCAGCATGAGCAGCAACAGCACGAGCCACAGCAGCATTAGCAGCATCGGCATCGGCATCGGCGGGACCCACGGACACGGCCACGGGCAGCATCCCCAGGGGGGGCACTTTTGTTCCTCCGGTTCCCTCTTTGGGCTGACGAACGGGGCGACCTACTCGARCAGCGCGGGGCTCGTTTCCGAAGCGGACCGGGCCCGGGCCGRTTCCTGCGATGGCGGCTACCACAAGGACCACCACGACTCGCACCCGCATCCGCCGGCCTCCCTCCCGCCGCTCCCGTCCGTCTGGGTCATCCTCTCCGAGCTCTGCCTGATCGGCTCCCTCTGCTTCAAGCACGCCTTTCGCAACATGCGCAAGCCCTGCCACGAGCTCCGCCGGAGGATCCTCCGCGGGTTCCTCGGCCTGGCCGGGGTCCTGCTGGTCCTGGTCGCCTGGCTCTCCTACGATTTCTACGCGGACGTCCAGGACGTCTGCACGCCGCCGCCTTCCGCCCCCGACTCCTTTTCCGCCTTTCTTTCTCCCTCCGGGGCGGGCGAACGCGGAATCGAAAGCGACCCGCCCCGGCCCCTCGTCGAATACTACGTGCACGGGAGGGGGACCGGCCACTACGTCCGCAGCGTCGCCATCGTGGAACAGCTGAACCGGGCCGGGATCGACGTCCGCATGTTCCTGACGCGGGCCGCCATGTGGAGGGCCATGCACGAGGACGCCCGGATCGTCGAGAACGACGACGACGACGACGAGGCAAGGAACCGGAGGCCGAGGGGAACCACCACCGCGATCGCCGTCACCTCGCTCACCCCGGGCATGGGGGTGCTGGAGTCCCTCTCGCACACGATGGGCCGGGTGAGCGGGGACTGCGAGGTCTCGGAAGGTTCCGGSCGGTACCCCCAGCTCGTCGTCACCGACGGGGACTTTCCCGGCATGCTCCGGGCCGAGCTGGGGGGGATCCCGAGCGTCGCCATCGCCCACGGCCAGCTCTTCTCCATCGGCCAGAAGCCGGCCTGGATCCGGGAATCGAAGCAGCTGAACACGGCCTGGGACAGGGAGGGCCGGCTCAATTCCGTGGCCAGCGCCTTCACCGAGTGGCAGATCGCCACCCACTTTTGCTTTCTCGAGTCCAGGTTCCACAGCGGGACGGTGGCCCGGCCCCCGCTCCGGCCGGAGATCCTYGGGATGTCCGATGCGCGCGGGTGGGCCCGGAAGGGGAAGCTCCCGCCGACGACCGGCGAAGGGTACCCGTACGTCCTCCCGCAGGAGGAACGCATCCGGTCCCTCCTGCTGCCCCTGCGCGGGACCCCCGGCGGCAGCGACGGCAACCACGACCACGACCAGCACGACCACGCCCAGCACGCCCACAACCGCACGTCGGGAGCAGCGACCAACGATGCACCGCCCCCGGCGGGCCGCCGCAAGCTGGTGATTTGTTATTTCCGGGACCACAACGGGGARAACGTGGTRAACACGCTGCTGAGCCTCGGCGTCGACGTGCTGGTCTTTGATCCGAACTTTGCCCTCGACATGCCCGGAAATCCCAATCGCTACGGGGCCAAGTGGATCATCCACGACGACATCCGGGACCGGGAACGAACCAGGCTGAGCCGGATGGAAGGTGTGGAATCCGCAGATGCCGGCGCAGATGCCGGCGCAGATGCCGACACCACGAACGGATTCCAGGAGCGTCGGAGGGTTTCCGAAAATGCCGACCTTCCGAATCCCGACGACGGCTTGAACGCAACCTCCGCCGTCATCTCCGCAGCGAACGACATAGCCCGGCAATTCAAGGTCCRGCAGGGGCACCAAGACGGGCCGAAAGTGATCCGGGTGACGGACCGGTCCTTGTTTGTTCCGTTGATGCACGTTGCGGACGGGGTGGCATCTTCGGCCGGATCCCAGCTCATGTCGGAATGCATCTATTCCCGCATGCCCCTCCTGGCAATGTACAAGGAAAAGGATAACGAGCAGCGACTCAATGTGGAATTGAGCCAACACGCCGATGCCCCTTGCCAYCGACCCCTGGTCTACGGGACTTCCTTCGAAGACCTGGAATCCACGATCAAATCGAATGCCGCTCTGGGTTCGACAAAACAACCAGCGAYCCGCAACACCCATGGCGGAAGYGCAAAGCGCATTCCGATTCCCGAATCCTTCTATAGCTTCGTCCGCGAGGTCCGTTCGAGTTCGGTGAGTGATACATACTACCGWAATGCGCACGTGCTGGGTGGCGACAGCGCTTCCCRTYCCGCAGAGAGACCCTCGAAAGCAAAAGGCGAAGAGGGCACTGCCGACCATCYTCCGGACAATSTCTTGGATGAGGAAGATCCCTTCCAGRGTTTGCCCGATGCGGCGGCCATCATTGTCGAGATCGTAAAGCAGGTAATCCAGAAAGGGTGATTTTAAAAGCTATGCATTAATTAGACGTGTGAATTATGAGTATCCCGCTTGATTTCGAACTCTTGAGCGTCGTAGCARTCGTCTACTCGAGATATACGAGCAACGAGGCAGAAGCGAAACGGCCCAGTCTGGTGTTGTCCATGTCATAAAGTTGGACCGATCGATAGCCCCGTCGTAGACAATTCACGGGAATAGCTGTTTGAGCGAGAAGCTTCCCCTGCTTTGTATTCTGTTCCACACGGAAAACCAACGAGGCCACGTCGGGGGTTTCTATGTCRAACTTCTTGCCCGAGTAGTCGTCGAAAATAGGGCAGAAGCCGTTCTTGTTTTTGCAAGATATCTTGTGCTTGGAAACTCTGAGATTCTCACCGTGATCCGGACGCACAACGACATCGTGGAGTTCCAGAACAACGCGTGGGTCGTCGATGCAGGTGTCCTCGTTGGGAGTATCTTTGTCGTCGAGAAATGGCTTGGGTATGCAGCTTCCCGATAGAACGCGAATTCTGAGCTTGATTGAMGGCGGCTTTTCTCCAAGTCCCAACAACCATAGCGGCTTGGGCAAATAACCGATCCCCCCGATTTGACGAAAAAGCCCGTCATTGATAGCTAAATCGGTGTCGTGTACTTGGAAATTAAGCGACGACATTTGACATCCCATGGCCCATGCCACAACGGGACTAAAATTTGGTTGCGACGGTACCGGAGTTTTGRACGAACCTTGGCTTTGTTCATTTGGGTATATTCTTGTCACTAAAGAAAATCATTGGACAACAAACATTAGATTCGTRACACGAGGATCCATTCTGGGGCAAAAACACACAGCCATTWCAGCACCAAAAACATTAATTGAAGCGGAGAACTTACGGTGAGATTCATTGAATTTTCGCCACAATGCTGAATTTTCCGAGTACTTATTTGCTATGTTCAGTACTTTCGTGTCTTTGATGTCGTGCATCTGTGAGCAAACCAAGTTCATCGACTCRAGAAAATGCCCCGTGAAGTCAGCATCGTGAAAAAGGGTTAGTTCCGACAATTCTTTTTCAATTTCAGCATCGCTTTCCGTGGACCCATTTGATTGCGAAACAAATGTCACCATTTTATTTGATCCAGGTTTGATAGGATTGAATTGAGCGTATACATCTTCAGACACACCGGAAGGGTTGGGTTCAAGTGTTTCAAGTTTTGGAGAGGGTGGTTTCCTTTCATTGATCACAATCATCCCTCGGAGGTCTTCAGGACTCGGAAGTTCTTTTTTCCGATCGACACTGTTTGGAACGAACAAATGCCTACCGAAAACTTCTTTTGTGATTTGGGCCAAAGACCTTTGAAAGGGTTTCGTGCAATTGTTCTCAAAATTTATCATGATTGGGTATGAGTTTCGATTGTCATCGAGATATTTTCGTACCGCTAGAACAATAGATCGAAATGTTAATTTGTCGTTCGAATCTTTTGTCGGGCAAACAACCGGCATRTGCGTTTCGTCGGGAAGAACTGTACCATCCCAGCATTTTAARTCAATAGACTTGCAACCACGTATCAATGCCCGTGTATATGATTCGACTGAGTAGGTTCCATCGATCATTGAAGATGAATTGTAYGACGAATTGATCCAATAGTGTGATAGTGGCTCGGTCAGTAGTCGCGTCCTATCAATCACTCGTTTTGCAGGGTCGTAAATATCGTTCCATTCTGATCTCAGAAATTCTTCGAATTGCCACTGCGTGAGCAAGGAACCTTTTCTGTTCGAWACTAGCTCACCCAGTTCAGTGGCATTCATGATGTTTACAAGATCGCGTGCATCTTGCATTCCACACGTGGTTCGTTCTTGTTGTGGCCCGTGGAGGAAAATCTCCAAAACGGTGACAGCTTTGACGCAAGTCGCGTTCCCAAAGCAAGCTCTCCAAGCTTCTAACGACGGATTTTCCGTCCCTTTCATTAATTGAAGTAGCTGTAAGCATTCAAAAAAAGTCAATTTATTGCCTTTCTTGCCTCTAAAGCTGCTGTCGTATTGATCGCTTTGCATTTTGCAGTAGTCTCGGAATTCCTTTCCGATATTTTCGGCTGTAAAATTGAGACGGCAGCAAAGAGTCGAAAATTCCTTTTCGTTCATTGCAATCACGCCATCTCCATTCGTACCAAACTCCATGTCTTTGAGAATATACCTTAGCAACATGATTTCGTTCCCSACAAGTTGCCCTGCTTCGGCATATGTGTGTTTCATCAACGCAAGTGTTGCAATCAACCCTTGTCGATGGTCTTTGTTTTCGATGAAAAAATCGAGCGAGACCATTCGACCCGTCGTCGAATCGACATGAAAAATTGTCACGGCAGCTGTTATACGTTCTTGTTCCGATGCAAACAACTCACTTTTCACACTTTTCGTACTTTCTTCCCTGGATTTAACATCCTTTGTCTTGGATGGTTTCGAATACTTCGACATRGCCAATTCAAGGTATCGCGAGGTAATGGCACCCACTTGAAAGCTGCATATATTTGCAATATCGATGGATCGGATATATGACCCGCCGAATCCTTTGGATGGTGTCCAGCTCGGTTGTTTCGGCTTTCTCATTCCTTTCGGCATCTTCGAATGTGTCAAGAACAGAGTAGTCTGGTCCTCACTAAGAGTTAGATATCGCCGGTGGCACTTTCCAGGCTTGTTGTGCGAGACTTTGATGACGGGAATCCCTTCGTGAAGAAAGGGAGCGACGGATACGTTCTTCATACCCTCCTGAAGAATAAGTCCCGGACTGTTGTCGATATCGCTTGAATCATTTCCTTCGATCATCTTTCGCGAGCAATTGTGATGGCTTGTAGGACCGAGAAGTTCCCGTTTCTTTTTGATTGGCACAAAGTAGGGTCGGAATGTCCCCATTTTTCTTCGTGMGGCAATGTTGTTCTTCGCATCGTTTAGGGATGGATTTACTCGCGAGCTATTTCCACTTCTGTTGAGACTTCTCGTAGAAGGATGCCTTTTCTTGAGAACGTTTGCAGAACTACTTGGAGACGATGGCGGGGCTTTCATCCTGGCCGAAACATTGTTTGGGTCATATCTGAACTTCTCCAAGATGCTTGACGCTGGATGAATTTTTCTGGAAGATCTCGGAGAAGGCTGAGATTTGATTCGTCTCGCAGAATCCGTGCTCTTGTCACGAGAGAGTGACCGGGAAGATCTTAGCCTTCGTTTCGAATCTTGCTTGTCGCTAGAACTACTTCTTTGTCGAGAGTCCTTGAATTTCGCAGAGGACGACCTGTAAATATCTGTAGCATTCGGTCTTGTRTGGTCGCTGGCCGACTTCTTCAGGTCGTTTTCTTTCAGTCCATCGGATGGTTTCGCATGCTCGCTGGCCGATGTCTTGAGGTCATTTCCGACGGCGGTGTTTTCTTTTGCTGAAGTCTCGGATYGGATGCGGCGGAAACTCCTAATACTCTTCAGGCTTGAACCTCTGCTTTCCAATCCCGGTCTCGTGTGGTCACTGGTCACTCTGAGTTCGCGATTGCTACCAGACCTCCCATTTAGCCCTCTCCTCCCRTGACTAACGTTGTCACTGTTACCGTCACCSTCTCCCCTTTTACTTTCCCCAGATTTTGAGCGATCGCCGTACGATAGTTTCCTGCGACTGCTTTCCGCATCTCCCTCACCGAGTTTTTGTAATTGGTGGTGCAAAGATTCCCTAATTCGGATGTGATCACTGACCACTCTCCTTTGGTCACTACCTAGTTTTTTGGAGGACCTCCTGTGCTCGCTACTAATTCCCTTGTAGTAGTCTCTCAGGCCCTGGCCTTGTACSACTGACTTATTTCTAATTTGATTATTATTTGTCGGGGTAAAACTCCCCGTGTGGTCGATCATCATGACTACAGTAGGCGGCACCCGTCTCCGGCTTTTTCTGGCCTGAGTTTCATGGTGAGTGTGCGTTCGTTCCGCCATACCGGTACGGCCTGTTTTGCGGAACCAGTCGACACCCTCGTCGATAGGTCACCACTAGCGCTGAGCCSCTCTCGAACGGAGACTGAGAAATTGGGATTATTTGAAAAATAAATTGGGATTATTTGAACAATAGTATCACTTTTACTCCATGAATGACAATGGATGGTATACCCAGACTCAACGCTTGCTATAGATTTTTCTTCGGTGGTACAATTATTTGTCACTCTGTGAATCTGACAAAAGTAGAACCATAGCTCTTGCTMTGTTTACACGCCTTCAAGAGAACCCTTTACGCAACACTTAACGAACACCTAATAGCCTTCGCTGTTCATAACTCGAGCTTCTYTTGGTTAAAAATTAATGCTAGGGTGAGGAACGTACGCTTACATCAGTYCTGAAACCCGCAACTGCACTAATCAGGCTATGATTTTGAACTCGGTACGGACTTTTCTACYAGACCTCTTACTGTGGGTGCTATCAATTAAGAATATCATGATATTTATTTCAAAAAAAGTTCTCTTATGGTTGATAGAACCAATTGATAATTTAACGACAAAATAGTCTTTAAGAAAGTTTCATAACATAATGGCATATCAATTTACCTTTTAGTTATAAATATCAACGAGGAAGGCAGTCCTCGAAAATGGCGGACCATTTTGCTTGGCCATGGAGAAWAATGTTGTATGCCTGCATGACTACGAATGACATTCGGTATGCAGTTTTCTCGTTCGTGGTTACTATGCGCGTGCGTGAATAGGCTTCAGTAAATTCCGTTCATACAAGTACTGTTTGTCACGTACGATGGCTTTGGTGTTCATTCGTCGTAACCCCTGTTTAAATGTCGTATCGTACAGTACGGTATGGGAACGTTCTTTGCTCAGGAAAACAATGACAGGAACGTTCATCGGTTCGTCACATTTCACAAATATGGAGCACATGTACGTACCCGTATGACAGGAAATAATATAAAGAAGTGAGAGAATCAATAAAACATCACGCAAAAGAACACGTCGGAAAAACTACAAGGTTAAGTTGSCAGTGGACGAATTTCATCACCTCTGCAAAGATCCTGAAATTCCTACGATCGTTGTGCCTTATTGGAATTCAATCATACCATAGCCCCGGAGGAGATTGAAACCTAGAGCGAAACCTAGTACTGTGATAGCCATGCCTAACTTGAGAGTTTAWAATACAACTATCGGCACCGTAGACAGGGCAATGCACGTTGCCAGTGTACCTATTGGATACGCTTAGGTTTGTAAAATTCCAGTATCGTCCTCTAGTAACCCTCTGAGCTTAGTCCTGGTGCGAAAGCCAGGGCAATGATACTGTATTTGGCTATACTGCACTTCTACAAATAGGGCACCTTCAAACACTTTTGGATGAAAATTCCAATCTAGTCYAGTAGTATTCTTTGATYTCAGGAATCCTATCCTTGCGCGACCCTTGSGCGACCCTTATGAAATAAAGCAGTCATTGTGATCATTTAKTACAATCCAAAAACAAWTCTTCAATGATGCCCTTTGTGTACAAGACAGCACCAGGCAGGGATGCTATTGGCTKTTGCGTGTGAGGTGCCGCGGTCAGATACGGTGCCGGTCCGTACTCGGGCGATACAAATACGTCCCGGGGACCACCACCACTCATGTGGGTCGGCTCCAATTGTGCTTTTACGAGCTCCTTCCAGATATCAATCTGAAGCTTGCGGTCCTGCTCGCATTCGGGTGCGGACGGATCGGCCATCTGGGGTCCCTGGGCCCATCCAAACCGAGCGTGAATGTACTCGCACCGCGGCGATATCGATGCCAGGACGCCCGGCCACCACCGGTCCCGGTCCTCCTCGCTGGGATTGAAGACCCGTTCGCACGCACAATACCAGTGTGAGAGATCGGCGTTGAGCCTCAGGTGCTTCGATTCCGCAAGTTCCGGGAGGGCCAACAGGTCTCGGGTCTGAAAAGGACTTCCGAAAAGGCGCTGCCGATGGGTTTCGAACGTAACGGTGAGATTGGGTGAGGAAGCCCTTGCTTGCTCGATTTCGTCCAGGCAAAAGCCGAGAAATTGGACCGCTTCGTCGCTGGACCATGCATCGACACCGGCATGGACGTTCACGAAACATTGCTTGTCCACGCGGTCGAAGAGAGCCCTGCATTCCTTCAGCTGTTTGCAAAAGTCGTCCTGGTGTACCGACACGTCGTAGGCGCCGCAGTAGACATATTGTCCGGTGACCGGATCGATGTACCCACCTGCCGTATGGATCTGTGCCACACATCCTAGGCCTGCCTCGTTAAGAGACTCGACAAGGACGTCCGCGCTCTTTTCGTCAATCCAGCACAGCCGTATGACCTCGACCCCGAAGTATCCTTCGTCGCGGATGGACCGAAAGAGTTCCGGGGACACCGGATCATCAATTCCCCAGAGCGTTTTGATCAACTTGAGCTCGGCCATTGTATTCTTTCATGAGTGATTCAAGATAGTTTTTGTTTCGATACTACGGTATCAAAGATCAGAAATCAAGCGCWTTCTTCGGATGAAACATAAACAACGCATGGGAGTTTCAGAGAGGGGCAGAAAGGCCTTGATGTATTGGAAATTGGAAATTGGAAATCGCAATCGGAACCTTAGCAGTAGAATGAGTGCATTACAGCAGCGAATGGTATGTTACGTACATATGTACGTACGAATAGGAAAAAAAGTAACGTACGGGACACGGGACCGTATCGTGTGGCTACGAGTAACTCGTACCGGCCGGTACGACGAACGAGTGACTTAAGCATGAGAAAGCATCCCGAAGCGTGCGCTCTTCGCGCTAAATTGAGTCACAAGCGAGACTCAACGAACTTCGAAAACCKGTATCTTTATGGTTGATTCTTTGACCTCATTTGGGTCGTTTGGATCCACAGACGTGCTTTGAATACCATGATACAGCATGATACAGCACGATACTAGGAGGAAATGTTTCTTCCTTGCAGTCCAGCCCAGTATGTCATGACTCACGCTCTTGTTGTACTTCTCAGAACCTGGGGTAAAAAGGCATAGTAGGTATAAATCTGCATTTTTGTGAGATAGACGGCTATAGAARGAAACTCCTTCGATCGATTGATATCAATASATGCAGTTGGTTTGTGGCTATTTTGCGATACGAATCGTTCTTCAAGAGTRCCATGTTTAGCCCGTGGGTGATWTTGTCTGCGGCGTCCGATCGTGCCTTGCTCTCTCTGACCACGGTTCCGACCCTGAGTGGTTGGATCCACACAGCGGTTGTCACCGGGGCAACTACCGCAGCGGCCGGCCTTGTCGCAGCGGGATCTGGGTTCATTGACCCGGTCCGCGACTTCGATCCACCGTGGCAGACCAAGGCCAACGACAACGAGAATGGTAGAACGACTGCGCCTTCGCATCGACTGCTTCTCCCGTGGTACGTGAAGTCTCTTTCTGCCTTTGTCTTCCCGTCTCTCGGAGAGGAGGTCCTCTGGAGGGGCGCAATGATTGCTCCCCATCCGTCGGCATGGACTCCAGCCACTGTTTCGATATTCCTCCCGCGGGCCGGTGTGGTCCTCTTGGTGCACGTGTTGCTACACCCGGTGGCCGGCTTGACCGTTTGGCCACGGGGAAGGGAGGTTTTTTGCGACCCTCGGTTCCTGGCACTGGCCACCATCGTTKTGGGCGGGTCAACCGTGGCGTACGTCGCGAGTGGGGGGAGCGCGATTGCTGCGTCGCTGACACACGGTGTGTGTGTAGTATTRTGGAGGGATTTCTTTGGCGGGGAGGCCAAACTGATGAGAGGAACGACCACCCCAACGAGCAACACCGATGGTGTCATTTCGGAGAAGAAAAAAGAGAAGTGACGAGCAAGTACAAGTAAACAAACATGCAGCAAGAAAAAAATTGGTAGTTGCCTGCCGATCGAAGTTGTGACTGGATCTATTGTGTAGGACACATGGCAGTAGCAGAACTGATACACTATGCCTCGAGAACAAAGCTTCATCGAGTGGCCGATAGCTTCGTGTGTGGCTCGCCTGTGTGTGAATCTTTCGTTTGAGATCGTTTATGTGGAAGCAAGACTTTACTTCTACACTACAAGTAATTCTGGATGCAAGATTTGGGCCTTCCAAAAAATGCACACCGTACTTGTGGTCTAGAAAGTTTTATAGGTTTTGCAGCACTTACATGCGAGTCTAGAGTGGTGTTGAAGACAAGAGCTTTCTTGCTCTCTGGYTCTTGGCAAGCTCTGGAAAGCATTCTGTGCTAAACATGTTTTGTTCTCACAAAAAACGAAATGAATCTAGGATTATGTAGTGCCAAGTTTTGTTGATAGAATATAAAATAGATGTTCTAATGTACGTAATGTGTTGTTGTTATTGTGTTGATATGGAATTGTTTGTGCGTGGAAAGAAAATTGGATTTGTGAAACTGTAGTTCTCGTACTGCGACACTTCAACMGACACAAGTGGTAGGTATATGCAATACGCCATGTGGTCATGATGTTTGTGATTCCTGCCGTTGAACCATTTACACTCCCATTGGAATCTGACCACCGGGCACACCGGTTCCGGCCAGTCCCCACTCCTGCTGAACTAGCGAAAAAACACCATATGGAGGTACGATAGGGGTATTATTGATGGACAGATTCTCGAGCTTGTGCTCAATGATCTTCCCCGTGTCCGTTTCAAGGCGGTACATGCTGATTCCATCYACGTGYAGGGGCTTCCCAAGGGGCATTTTKGGTACCAGGACAGCGTGCCACGATACTCGAATCGACGATCGTGCAAAGTCGTATACCAATCGGTACTGGAGTCCGTTTCGTTCCGGTTGGAACCAGAACGCCACAAATTGCTGGAGGAATTTGATCGAGCTTTTGTAGTTTTCGATACCCGTGAGCTGCACGCCAGAGGGATCAACGACCGTTATATCGCTGTGGTAAATACTGTAATCTAAGAAGAAAAACACGCGACAGAAAGCAAATGAGGTGAGAAGATTCGTTCCACAGATTCGTTCCGATTCCATCGAGCTGCATTGAAGCCGCTCGCCAACCAATATTATTCATGTCCAAAAGCGTGGGAACAAGAAACAAATCGTACCTGGAGTATCCTTTAGAATGTATGGCATGTCTTTCCGTAAAGTGTCCATGGCCTTCCCGAGATTCATTTGGAAATTCCTTCTCTCGTCTGTAATTTGCTGCAGGACGGGGGGCAATTCGGAGCTYTCTACGGCATTGATTTGATCATCGTCTACGACGTCAATGGATGCCAATGGCTTATTRCGTATCGTGACCGAAGAAGAAGCTTCCGTCGCATCAAAACCCAGATCGAGGTCGAGACGAACGTGCGAYCGACGGCTTGCGGCTGATTCAGGCGTGAACCCGWWKGTAGGTGACACGCAGCACGTGCTGAGTGCCAAGCTTGAGACTAGTAGATTGTTTGTTCTAACCATGGTTGCAGATAACTTYAAAAGTATTGTTTTGTTCTATTAYCGTATACTTTACTTCGTAGAATAGTTGTGAGAGAATGCAKYTAGAGGTGTTAGTAGAGTGGTAGCAGCGGAATGCTTTTTCCTTATCTGTCGTCAAGTTCAATTGGTGGTTGATGTCTGCAAGCTGTGAGAGGTGGTCTGTAGTAATTTCTTCATCGCCGTATTTTCATCGCAAACTGCACGCCTTCGTGCGTACGAGTATCGTGACTCCAATTTCAGGTWGCATTTGAGAGCTCTTGATTGGCCAACGAAGATACCTCTTCTACCTCTTGCCGCAACACCGTATGTGACGTGAGCATCGATTTTTCTCCCCGTGGGATTGAGACTCCGTTGCCGTTGAATTTGCGTGGGTTTTATTGGTGTTTGTAAAAGSSGTACAAMATCGTACGTTCCAGTACGKCCCTTTACAGCCGTTCTTGCGTGGTAACCAGATGCCGGTTTCCTCGTTTTCCATTGGGGAACGTAAAAAAACGAATGAGTCACCATCAAAGAAATGAAAGGTTTTTTCAAAAGTCTGGCAGCTCGATCCCTCTACGTACGATGGTCAGACCATTTCAASCGAACTCTAAATATCCACGTTTCGATTTTACCGTTAAAGACATCAGCAAGTGCAACAGGGGGTTCCGGCTTCGGTTTTTCTTTTTCGATGCATGTATGGGAAAAAAAAAATCTGTTGAGCATACCGAACAGTGATCGTCTTACCAAGACCACACCAATCGACCAATAGATTCTAGCAACGCTGAAAATCTTTTGATATTGACACGGGCAATAACAAAAATAGGTTTCTCTCTGCCTACTCGACTGTACCGGTACAGTCCTCACGATTGAAAGAATGAACGAACGCWTGAAACCCTCCTCTCCGTTTCGATCTGCAAGGAAAGAAGTTTTCTTCGCTAAATCGTTGCTGGGATGACAGCACAATGCGCAATTCTGCCTTTTGAGCCATGATCTTATTTTGTKTCGAAAACATCATTGTACACAACTTCTGTGACCAAACAATATATTGAGCCCTACRAAGTACTGTGCGACGCAACATTTAAAAAAGACCAACCAATTCATCATGTGGGCCAAAATCCATCTCAACCGGTTTCTTCGGTGGATATTAGCAACTCTGTTGTCTATCATCTTCCCGTATGCTACTATCAAGAATCCWGATGGATCTGAGCGGAAGCAACGSCAGGAGAAATACCGCAATATGCCACTGTTGAGTGTAAGCAGCGACGACATGCCGGAATCCGACCACGAGGAGAACGAGGCAGATAGCCATCTCGGGGAGGCCTCAAACGAAGTCTTTGATCTAATTGGGCAACGAATGACGCTATTGTAGACACACAGTGCATATAAGGCTCACGCACCGAAATGCATGTTGCCCAAGGCGTAGCAACAAACCATCACTTTCGGGTTTGGCAGTAGAGTTGGCTATTCTCCGGCCCCAAGTTTCTTGGGCTTTCTAACCCTTCATCGATTGCAACGTAAGTTGGAATTTAGCTACGATGCAAGTATTGTTACGCATCTCGCCGGACCCACAGGTCAATGATTGACAGGATGATCGGAATAGTCTATTGAAAYACCAAAATTTAAATGAAAATCTACTTTACCATCAACGGTTTTRAGGAGAAACAGCATCTATCTTTGTTAGCTAGTAAAATGTTTTCCAACATTTCTTGAAATCATGTCASCCAACAATGCCTCCGGGATCGTTTACGTAATAGGGAAAACAATTTCTGAGTCCAAACCTCGGATCGAGTCCAAGAGCAATCGTAATACGACTCGACCGCCATCCTCACCGCCATCTGCATTTGCAGTTTTCCAGTCAAACTGAAGCTGCTTTTCGACCGTCCAGGTTCCGTTCCGGGAAACGGCAACTTCTGAACAGGCCAGCAGTTTTTGGCTTTCGAAGCTCCCTAGCACCAAGGAAAGCGTGGTGAAATCGTCTTTGTGAGGTTTCTCTCGCTCGATTTGTAGAGCAACCTTCAAGGTACCGATACTTTTTCCCGTTGCCTTGTCAATTTCGTGATAAACCTTGCCTTCTTTCAAGGTTATCAAAGGCATCACCTGTAGAGAAGTCAGAATTTTATGGGGTGGCGCTCTGAAGGTTCCTTTGCGGCAATTTCTTATGGCCTCTCCAACCTCTTTTAGAGGAGTACGGCGTAGTTTCCAAASTGTATTTTCTCTCTTCTTCTCCGAATTGCTCTGCCCCTTCTTCTTCTTGGAATTTATTCTGTTCATTATGATGTTGAAGGATGATTCATTCACTCCCACTAGCTGTGTGCCAGGATTCATTCGTGGAGTCGTTCTAGTAGAAATGAGCTGTTTTGTCCGAACTAGCTGGCACAAGACATCAAACGAGCCATCGGTGCSACCCTCACGTGCGGCTATGAACTGCATGGCCGCTAAAAGCCGAGGGACACTGTCCATAACCGTTTTCGAGTCATTTATGTAATCGCTGATCGGGAGTTTCACTCTTTCTAGATGTGCCTGAACCAATAGAAAGCCCTTGGTATGCGAGTCGGCATAGACCTCGTCATCAACATACCCTGCTCTGCCATCCTTGGATAAGACTGCAGAAGTATCAGGTCCCCACATTACGTCTTTGCTCAAGTCCTCATTCAAATATTCCTCGTTGTGGCGCACAGGCAATTCGTCGAACTCATGTGTACAACAGAGTGTGTACAAGAGCCAAGCGATGGATACTTCTTCTAACCGGCCCGTACGTTTCARTGGACGAAGGGTTGGTGTCCTGTCGTCTATATCATCTACCGCTGGKTTCTCGGATAAAATAATCTTCGCGCACTGCCTCAGACCAAATTGCATTTGCTTGGCAGTTCTATGGTTCAAATAGAATTCAGAAGTTGMTTTTCCTAACGTAGACGCAATCACAGCATCATTGTCGTCCCTCTCTATGCAYCCTTCCTTTTCCAATTTTTCCAGTGTTTCATTGGCTAYMGACGTTAAAAACTCTTCCACGTGCTCAGAAGATGAGCTCTTTGCCCCATAATATGATGGATTTGCCTTCACTCTTCGTGCAAAGAATGTCCATATAAGATAGCCAACAGCATCCAGTTTAGAATTCACCGTTCCAGTAGCGATTTCAGCATTTAAGTTTTCACAGAGGCGATCACGCAAACAGGACTCGACAGGGAAGGGTGTGTAGAGAAATTTCTTGTAAAAGTTCTTCTTGCTGCTTTCGCACAAAACCACAGCCGTTCCTTCTGTATCGAAACCAGGTCTGTGAACGAAACGTTCGTATAAGTGACATGTGGAAAAGAAAAAAGTTTATAGTACCGAAGAGTGATAACGATTACGTACCTGCCGGCTCTTCCTATCATTTGCAGAACATCCGTCAAAGGATAATCGACGTATCGCGATACCTTTCCGTCGAAATACTCCGTTCCTTTCACGATGACGAGACGTGCTGGAAGGTTTACTCCCTAGATATGAAAAGATTGAAAAAAAAATTAGGAACCCGTCATAAATTGAARTGTTCATCCTACCAAACATACTTACCCAGGCAAGAGTAGCTGTAGCGACWAGAACTCGAATTTCTCCACTTAGATACAGACGCTCCACAATATCCCGATCTCCACTGGAAAGACCTGCATGATGCAGACCAATACCAAACGTTATAGTATGTCGCAATGCCTCGTCTTGGATAGATGCTGCGATCCCGTCGATATATGCATCATCACAGCCAAGGAATACCTTTGGATCTTGGTCACCGGCGGCAAAACTAATCAGATCGAAAGCCGTCAATCTAGTTTGTCGTCTTGATGCAACGAAAATGAGCGAAGGCCGATCAGGTGAGTGTTGTTTGATRGCTGCRTAGCAGGGTTTGTTCATTGTAGCCATCCTAGGACAATAATGTTTGCCAGGGTATCCTTGAATATGAATGTACGTTGGGACAGGACGAATCGAAGGTCGAAAGTTGTACATGCCAATCTTCTTTGTGGTATCTATACCCATCCAATCTGCCAAATCCAGAGGATTGGCAACGGCAGTGGACAGCCCAACAATGCGAATCATTTCGGGATCATTTGTGGATCGATTTGACCCTTGGTTCTGTTGTAAAGAACGGGATATAAATCTGGTGCGACTGACAATCGCTTCGAGAACGGCACCTCTTTCCTCTCCCAGAAGATGGATTTCGTCGATTACCAAAAGACGAACACGTTTCACAAAGGATCTTCTGTTGTTGTCGTCAGAAGATGACTTTTCATCASCACTACCTCTCCARCCACGCGAAATCAAATCCCATTTCTCTGGTGTGCATACCAAGATATCGGCACATTCTAAGGCTCTTCGATCATGGTGGGTATCTCCGGATAATTCCAAAATCTTCCAATGCATAGGAGCACCACCGAAGCGCTTGCCCCACTCCTTGAGTCGTTCTCGAGCGAGAGACTTCAGTGGAGCAATGTAGACACAAATTCCATTCTTGTGCAGTCGTTTCATCCTCAAAATTGTTAATTCACCAACAACTGTTTTTCCACTTCCGGTCGGGGCTCCCAATAAAACGGGGAGGTCCGTGTGGTAGAGTACATGAAAGAGTTGGGTCTGTACCGGGTTGAAAGTATCAATGCGTGAAAAYAACTGTTCGTATTTTTCGTTTTGAAGCACTGTTGTTGGCAATGGAGTCAGGTCCATCAAATCTGTATTAGTAACRACTTGTTCCGGCATCCTTGTTTGCTCTAAGGAGACGGGGTGAACCACTTCAACTCCAACCCACGAGTCAGACACCAGACGGACAAGATATTGAGCAGAAGTTGCAAACGTCGGTATGTACATTTCGAGATTCACTGACTCGGGATAAGTCTTCTTCGTAAACATCACCTGTTCTTGRTGATAAATCCGTTCGCTTTGTGCGTCTTCTATCCAGAGCCAAAAGAAAACTATAGATGGAAAGGAGAGAGAATAAAAATGAGAGACTAGAAKGAAAGAGCAATTGAAGACAAGCACGCAGTCGCCAAATCATAGCTTACCGGCCCCACCGTGCCATCGACCCTGCCATTCAAAGTCGGGACTTATCTCGATCTGAAACTTTAAGACGCTATTCGTGACAGGTTGCACGTTGCAAGAAATTATTGGTTTTGGAATCATGCCCACAAACCGCTGGATTTTCGCACCCGTCGCCTTTTTSGATCGAACAATCTGGCCAACTTCTTCCGGGGTCATTTCGAGCAAATCTAGGGTAGACGACAGGGAGTCGTACCTGTTTCTTCCCACACCCAGATGGCGACTCTCCAGCGCCTTGATGGAATTCATTCCAATCTCGCTCTGAAAATGACGCAACGGCGATTGGAACCACCAAAACTGGTTGTCGATGCTTTTTGCAAAGCGCAGTAGTTTGAGCGCGGTGCCAGCCTTGTTTCCGTGGAGACACATTTCGAAAATGGCCCGCGCCACGCGACCAGCGTTGGAAGCTATGTAGTTGGTGTCGGAAATYAGCGTGAAACCCTTGGGTCGCTCACTCGAAATGAACGCCTGCATCAAGACGAATGCTTTTGTTGCCGAGTCGTTCACCGGGCCCTCCAATGTCAGGGGACATTTTCCCTGCAAGCTGTCCAGTTCTTTTTGTTCCTCCTGTCGCACCCGCAGGTTTTCGAATTCGTTGGCGGAGGAGACCATGTGCAAGACGTCTATGTCGTTTGGATACGGATTGATTTCCATCTGATCGTTGAAGGTCGCAACACTTTCGGCTTGGATGTAAAAATGCGCGGCAACCTGGTCGCGTAAAAAAAAAGAGCAGAAGCATCGTGTCAGAACATGGAATCAAATGCCACGGACCATCCACCTACCACACGAGGMAAGTGGTTCTACCAGTTGCACAAGGCGCGGCGAAGGACTCACCCGTCCTAGAGTCGTCATGCTGAGATTGCCGGTGGGAGGGTGGAAGGAAATCATCTTTTCTTGTGACAGGGTCGTTGCGGCTTCCCGCACGAGTTCGAGCAGCCGGCCACGAAGAGACGGATCGTCCGCCTTTTGATCGGCATTGATGCCGTATGCCAGCGGGTTTTTAAGCATTCGAACGTATAGRTAGGTATAGCTCAGCCAATTGACTGCTTCCTGGAGGTTGGTCACCGTTCCACCCACGATTTCGGCGTTGAGGTGGTCTGCAAGCTGCTTGATAAAGGTAGATTCGATCGGCACCGCTCGAACAAGCTTGTCGAGGTAGCGATTCAGTGCCTGGTGGGTCGTGATGAGGTTTGCTTCTCCGGAAATATCGTACTGGGGTCGTCCGGCACGGCCAAAAATCTGCTGCACGTCGAGGATGCTCAGGTCGACCATCTTTCCCTTCTCGGGGTTGTAGATGTCCGTCCCCTTCACCACGACGGTGTGAGCYGGGAGATTGATTCCCCAGGCAAGGGTAGCGGTACAGCACAGCACCTTGATGGCCCCGTCGGCAAACATGCTCTCGGTCAGCTTGCGATCTCCCCGGAGCATTCCGGCGTGRTGGATGCCCATGCCGTTGTAAAAGTGGTTGGTCACCTCCCGRTTCCGGGATTTTTTGGCCCGGTCGGCGTAGCGCTTRTAGGCTTCTGCGCCGCCGTTTTCTTTGCCCTGGGTGGTGAAGAAGCGCTCCAGTTCGCCGGCGGCCTGGGCMCGCTGGGCCAGTGCGCTTGCCGCATCCCCCGTTCCCTTTCGGGAGTGCACAAAGACCATGACCTGATAGCCACGYGCCAAAGAATCCTTCACCATTTCGTAGCAAACGTCGTCCATCTTGCTGTTCATCAGGAAGCGGTTTTTCACGTTCCCGGTCACCCCCACAAAGGTCTGCTGCATGGGAACGGGCCGGAACTCCGGACCAAAGTAGAAGAGCCCCCGCTCCGGGAMCTGGAGGAACTCCGCCACGTCCTTGTAGTTGGGCAGGGTTGCCGAGAGGCCCACGATCCGCTGCTGTTTTTGCCGGGTTTCCACGAGCCGGTGMAGCCTCGCCACCACCGACTCGATGACCGCCCCGCGGTCGTCGGCCAGCAGGTGGACCTCRTCGATGATGAGCAGGCCGCACTGGTTCCCGAGCGAGTTGTCGTCGGCACCRGACTTTCTCGTCACGACGTCCCATTTTTCGGGGGTGGTGACGATGACGTTGGCGGACTGGGCCTCGGCCCTGGTGAGCTGTATGTCCCCCGTCAGTTCCCGAACGATCAGGCCGAGTGGCTTGAGCTTGGAGGAAAACTTTTCGACCACCTCCTGCGCGAGGGCCTTCATCGGGGCGATGTAGACGACCTTTTGGCCCGTCTCGAGGATGCCGCCCGACGAAGAATTGTTGTTTTTGTTCTTGTTGACGGCTCCGTCGTCGTGTTCGTCTCCGTAGCTGTCTCCGTCGCTGTCGTAGTCGTAGTCGTCGTCGCCGGTGTTCCCGATCAGACCCACGTCCCGGAAGTGGGCCGTCACGCACAGCAGGGCCACGTTGGTTTTCCCGGCCCCCGTGGGWGCGCAGACCAGAACGTTTTCGCGGCGGCGAAAGGCCGTTTCGAAGACCGTCGATTGCATCGGGTTGAGGCTCTTGGTCCCGGCAAAGGCGCGCTTGCAGTCCATCTCGTTCGCGTTGACAAAGATGTCGTCCAGTTTGAGGCGCTCGTGCAGGCTCCCCGGGTCGAGCCTGGGCGGAGGAATCGTGACCTTTTCGTACCCGATCACGTCGTCGTCCTCCCGGATGGTTCCGCTCGGGAGCGTCCCGTCCGTGTGGCGCATCCGCGTCCCCTCCGGCTGCAGGGCCGCCTGGATGGCCCGGAGCTCGTCCTCCGAGCGGTTCATCAGCCCCCCCAGGCCCTGCTCCGCAGCGGCTCCCCCCGGASCAAAGGCCAGATCGGACTCGTCCAGGATGGCCCCCGCCGCCTTGGCTCTCTGCAGGGCCTGGTTCGCCTGTTTCTGGGCCTTCTGGGCCGCCTTGATCAGGGCCTTCTCGCTCTGCCGGACGACCGTGTGGGTGGCGTGGGCCGAGGTCCGGCCCGTGACGGCCTCGGCCTCCGCCTTGGCAATGGCGGCGATCTGTGCGGCCTCGTAGGCCTCCTGCCGCAGCCTCCGCCGCTCGGCCTCGGCGGGATCCTCGGTGGTGGTGCTTTCGAAGCCGCCTCCGCTGCCGTCGGCCGCACCACCGGTGCGTGATCCTCCACCGGCGATRCCCGCATCCCGCAGGGACTCGGCGGTGATTTCCCTCCGGAGGTCGGGAATCCGGGGGACGATCTCGAAGAGGGCCGCCATGGCTTCTTCGGAGGCACCGAGGGCGGCGAAGAGGGCTTCTTCCTGCTGCGATTGGTCCTTCGAYTGGCAGGCATCCCAGACGAGACGCGCMATYAGCGAGAGGTGGTCGTCGTCGGAGGCCAGGGGACGGAGGGTTTTCAWGAGCCAGCGAACGTCGGATGCATTTCCAGAGGCGTCGCCTTCGGGGGTCTTGGTTTCCCCGCCTTCCAGGGACGGCAGGGCGTCTCGGAGGGCACGCGCCAGTGCTTCCAGTGAGGCGGAGATCGATTCCCTTTCGGCCGCCGACGGTGSCYTCTGCTTCGCGAGCACCGATTGCTTCTTTCTCTCGCGCAYCGAACCCCCGACGGATCGACGCTCGTCGTCAAAGACCTTGAGGATTGCTTCCATGGTCGAGATCGGMTCGGATCGGTTCTTTCTGCTTCCTTTTCTCTTTTCTGCTAACGGGCTTGGTTCTTTTTTCCCGCTTCTGTTTGTTGTTTGTTACTTGTTGCGGAGTCTTCTCGTTTTTTGTTGTTGCTGGTAGGATAGCTTGAATGGTGTTAGTGCTTTTTTCCTATCGCTCGCATGCTGGTGGTGTTGCCGAAGTGTGGAATCGATTGTGCTTGTGATTGTGCTTGTGCTTGTGCTTCCTCAGCATTCCGCAATCATTTGTGGAAACCTGGCACGACGGTAGATGGTAATGATGATTTAATTTTTTGATGCCGAAACGTGTGAGTGAGCGAAAAAATTCCGAGGCGTAGACTTTTGGTACTGTACTAAAAGTACCTAAAAGTACATGTACCCTGTACGGGCAGGGGTAAGTTATATCGTACATCGTAGTAGAACAAGCCGGAAACCCGCGGCATCAAAAAGATGGCATGTCTGGCCGTCGTGTGCTACAGTATTATTGTGACCCAACACGGAACCGAAATCCGGGAGGGGAGACTGCTTAGTGCTTAGTGCTTATGACATATATTACGAAGTACGAGTACTACATAGTATAAGTATGATAATGTTGACCCCCGTGCCTCTGCACTCTGCATCCCGGTCCAAACGGGACACGAATGAGACTACGATCTCAGCCACMAAATGCCGGCAAAAAAGCAAGGGCGACAAGACGACGATGCAGTGAAAGAAAGGTGCCGCGAAACCAAAGCCGTCTGCATGATAGCAATTCTACGAGTGCTACAGTACATAGGACGAGTACTGCTTTACTATACTGTTGCACAAATTTCTTCTGCTTTCTTTTTCTCGTTCCATTCCGTATGAAGTATGTACCGTACCCCACCTACCCTTGTGCGTACTAGGCGCGTAGAAAATGCCGTACCGGTACAAACCCAAAACCATCACGCCGTCGCATTCTCAATCGGTTGTGGTTGATGCCAAAACTTGCATACCGCATCGCATCGCATCGGACCGCCAAGCGAAAGCACTCTGTAGCGTCGTGCACACCAATGACGTCCAACGCGGCAGAAACAGCCACCGCCATGGAGACGGAAGAAGCAGCCAACAGCGAAAGCAAAAACGAAGACGAATGCGGAGACGAAAGCCAGCCTCCCCCGCTGGTCGACGGCACGGAAGAGGAGCTGAAGGGCAGCGGCAGTGACGACGATAATGACGACGACGACGACAAATCCACTTCCAGCACCGCCTCAGACGATTCCAAAAAGGAAGACCCCGAAATAGCCCTCGCCAAGGCCATGGCCTTCAAGGAGGAGGGAAACAACTACTTCGTCAAGGAAAAGGATTTCGAAAAGGCCAGCCGCAGCTACCGAAAGGGCGTCAACCGCATCAAGCACCTGAACAAGGCCAATTCCGGAGACGACCAGGTCAAGGCCCTGCTCCTGACCCTCCAGACCAACCTCTCCATGATGTGCTTCAAGCTGGGGAAGCACCGGCAGTCMCGGGACGTGGCGGGCAAGTGCCTGGAGATCGACCCGCACCACGTCAAGGCCCGGTACCGGCGGGCCGTCGCCCACCGCAAGCTGGGCAGCAGCGAGGAGGCGGTGGCCGACCTCCGGGCGGCCCTGGCCACCGAYCCGGCGAACGCTTCCGTCCGCAAGGAGCTGGCGGCGATCCAGAAGGAGCTCCAGCGGGCCAAGAAGGCCCAGAAGGACTCGCTCCGGAGGGCCTTTTCGAAGGGCGGCCTGCTCAACGACGACCGCGTCGAGGACGAGGCGGCAAAGGCCGAGCGCCTCGCCAAGGAGGCCAKGGAGAAGGAAGCCGCCCTCAAGAAACGAAAACAAAAGTGGGAAGACGACTGCGTGGCACGCATGGCCAGGGGAGAGGACGCGATCGGCTACGAGGACTGGGACAAGGAACAAACCGAGAAGGAAAAGGCGGCGGAAGAGGAGGCCACCCGGAAGCGAAAGGAGGACGAGAAGCGACGAAAGGAAGAGCGACGAAAGGCCAAGGCCGCCAGGAAGGCCGCGCAGGCGGACAGCGACGACGACGAGGACGACACGTTTACGGAAAAGGAGCTGGCCGAAATGAGGGGGTACAAGAAGACGGCCGACGGCCGGATCACCTCGTACTTTTCGAGGGAGCAATCGGAGGAGGAAAAGGCCATGCTGGACATTGCCCCCAAGCCGATCAGCGASTGCACGCCGCAGCCCATCACCCCGTCGTCCTCCGCGGGCGAGGGCGGTGGGGCCGCCAGGGGGAGCTCCTGGAACCACGCGGGAACCTGGTGCGTGGTGTTTTCGGAGGCGTGCGTGTGTGTGTGTGCGTGTGTGTTTGTTTGCGTGTTTGTTTGTGTGTCAAACCCCGTTCTTTTTGAAGCCCGCGCTTGGGATTCCAAAAGGAGTGGTTGCGAAGACCCCGTCCGAAGCCTCGTGTTGGTCCTTTCGCGACATCGTATTGATCTGCTGCCGTTGGCATTCACTTTGCAATGTGGTCGTTCCTAACAACTGCTTTTTTCGCTCTCGGATTGCATCCAAAACGATACAACGGACCGCATCCGTCCGTATAGGGAAGAAAAGGATACCACCGAGTGGTGCAAGACTCGCCTCRAAACACGCCTTTCCGAAACCAAGGTAGAAGCGTCCGGATCCGATGGGGACCACTTGTGCTGCTCCGTCACAAAAGTCAAGGACATCACGGGAGATGCATCGGTCGCCGTGGTCAGTGGAAARAAACGATACATCTTTGATTTTCACTGCAAGGTCGTCTTTGAGATCAAAGAAGAGAGCACGGGCGACGTCATTGCGAAGGCGACACTCAATCTCCCCGACATTTGCAGCACCCACCACGACGAACTCGAGGTAGAAAACGCGGGCTGGAAAAAGGCTCCCTCCAGCGAGAACCAGGAAGTGGCCAACGATTGCCGATCGCGCATCGTCTCCGAAATCCGGGAGAGCGTSAAGCTGTGGGTAAAAGATTTCAACAACCACTATTGATGTTTTCCGATCCARTGGTSTCGTTGGCTCTTTCAAAACAAAGACACACGAACAAACAAAAGGTTCTTTTGTMCCGTTGAACCACATCGTAGCTAKGCAGTATACACAATAAAACAGGACAATAATTTAGAGCAGATCCCACGAGACGCAAATTGTTGAAAAAGCTCGTTTTGTTTATGGTTATAATACAGAAATGCGACAGGCACCCTACTTTTCGGTTTGTAGTTCTGGTGGATCGTTTGCTTCTCCTTTCTCCGCAATCTTGGATGCGTCCTCTTCTTCGTGTGTGTAGTCGACCGCAAGATCGTCTTCGTCCATCTCGTCGGGGAGTTCTAGGTAGGAGGAAATGTCGGTCAAAATGTTCTTCTCGAGGTACATAATGTCGAGAGGCGTGTATCCCGCAACCGCATTGGCAGCGAGCAATCCTCCGTAAAGAGAGGCAGTGAAGGAGTCGTCGACCGTCAGGTCCGAACCCCCGGTAAAGAGCCCGGGGTAGGGAGACTCGGCGCGGACACCCTTTGCCGCGTAACGGACGGGGGTTTGGCTCAAACCCATGTACAATGGCCCGTACATTTCGTTGTGCAAGATCTTCCCTTTCAGCTGTGGATAGTTTTCGAGGAGATCGTTCCTGACGCGTTCCATCAGCAACTGGTAGTCTCCGTGGGTGGATCCCTTTCCTTTTTGGATGGCGTAGAGTTTTGGTTTCGTCTCGTACGGAGTCACAAAGTCATCGTCGGCCTCGATCGTGACCACACAAGTGGTAATCTTCCCGTGCCTGGATTCAAACGACGGATCTTTGGCCGACGGAAATGAAATCTGCATCCAGGATTTTCCCTGCTCGAATTTGTTTCTGCTGCTCTTCTTGGGCTTGGTATTGGTCTCGGTATCCGTCAAACCGGCTGCCTCGTCCTGGTCGATCTTKTCGTTTGCCGYATCGTCGTCGTCGTCGTTCCCTCCAATGGTACCGAGCTTGACCTGGCCGGTTGAACTATCCATTTCGTCACGCGCGAGCGAAGCATTCGGCAACCGATAAAAATCTGCTCCGGTTACGTCCAAATCCCTGGCCGAACCCTTCAACGAGAAAAGGATTTTGATCACAGGTCTGCGTTCTGCGAGAGCTGGCAAACCAACAGGTGTATTGTATTTGTCTCGAACTTCATTGGGGAGAAGTCGAATAAATGTGGAAATAAATCCAAGCATAGAAACAACAGCCGGTTTGTAACCCCCGTTCTCGAATTTTTTGAGATCGAACTTGATCTCCCGTTTGTCGAGCAGTTGGATTCCTATGCATCGGGGTGGGGCAGGCCCGCTTCCGGCTTCCTTTTCACCGGATGGCTTTTTGGTATCTTCTGGCTTGGAAGAACCATCTTCGGTGTCTTCAAAGAGAAGACGGCCAATTGGTACCCCCGTCAAAACGCATCCTCCGTTTTCCTCGATTACCTTCTGAAAGGCGTGGCAGAGCGCACGAGGTCCACCAATAGGGTAATRCATCCCCTCCCCGGACATTGCCGAGCARACGTTGGATACGTGAACACCCATGCTTGCCTGGCTTGGTTTGATGTTTTCTCCGGGCATACCGACGGCGGCCAAAAGAGATCGAGCATGAGCGTTCAGCTGGAAACCACTGTCCAAAAATGAAGCTGCGTAACGGATTGTCGCTTCTTGATACAATTTATCCTTCCGAAGACTGTTAGTGCTGTCCGGAAGAATTTTCGAGACAAAATACTCTGTGGACGAGGCATTAAGACTCCGACAGGCTTGTATGTATGCTGCCGAGGCCGAATTGCCTGCATCTTGTGCTTCGATGCCGGGCCATCCATCTCCAAGCGACAAAGCCGCATCTTCGGCCAGGCTGCGCATGCCATCGGCTCTCAAGACGAACGGAACGGAATTTTCGCCACTGCTTTCTGCTCCCATCCCTGGAACCGACAAAATTTGAAAGGCGTGACCGTCGGCCGCCGATCCTATTTGTGCAAATCGAATACCACCTTGGAAGTCTGTAGAAGAGGCAAGRGCTGGGGCTAGGTTTTCTTGCGTTTTACTAATCCTAGAAACATTGGATGATTCGATATCAAATGGGATATCTGATCCGGGGGGCGAATAGCATCCACTTGCATCCTCCCTGCCGGTCAATACCAATACTTTTCGTCCCGTTCGTGATAACAAGGCGGCTGTGTACAACGAGGATGGCCCCGATCCGAGAAGAATAGTGTCATACGGATGGGTGGCAGAATCAAAAGCTTGGTCACCAATCTCAGTTCCTACGGGTTGCTTCAAGATATCGATTTTCTTTTGTCGTTCCTTCTCTGCTTCAGCTTCTTCGTCAATATTGCTTTCCTGTTGCTCTTCGTCATTCTCCTCAACAGCATAATAGGGCGAAGTCGACGGAATGTACGCCTTCATCGGTTTGAGGGGTCGTCGCTTTCTATTATCCATAAGAGTCTGAATGCCCGCAACCAGAACTACGAGGGCCCAGGGCTGGAGACCTACCAAGAAAAACAATACGGATAGAACCGTGATTTCCCAGCGCAAATTTCCCCTCTGCATCATGAACAGAATGATTACTGCGGTGCTCTTTGGAATAGGTGGTTTGCCCTGTCGAAAGGGCGAAAAGTATCCCGTCGCATATTTTCGTTGAACTGACTTGACTAGAGTCTCCAACTCGGGGTATTGTTTCAGGATGGGGCGGAGGCGACCGTATCGTTCGTCCATAATTCGTTCAAAGCGAGCGGCACGAGCGTGGCTCTTCCATCCACCGTTTTTGGTTTGGAAGTGATCGGAAGTTTCCTTCAACATCTCCTCTARTTCATTTAGCCAATACTCCGATTTAAAGATCGGTGCCTTGGGTGGAATTGGTTCTACTGGTAGTTGCTGCTCTCCATTAGYGTCGATTTCGACTTCGGTTTGTTGCCGGGCAGCTTCGAATGCCTTGGTCGCATCTTCGTATTGCATCAATTCTTCGGCATATTTTTCCAAACCTTCAATAGCTCTTGCTTTCATTTCAGGGGAAAAGTATACTGAAATTACGTCGGGAGACAACTTTCCAACCACGCTCCCCCTGGCAGCGTGTTTGGGTTTTTTCCCATCGGCGCCGACCTGGGTAGGCGGTGTATCCCCCCGGCGGACCTTTTCTGGCTTTCCCATACGCATGGTGGAACAGAGTTCTTCTCTTTCTTAGCCTTGTCTGATGCCAAAATAAAATACAGAATTATCCTCTACCTCACAGTCGGATGCAATCGCAATATACCATGCAATCTAAAGGTTTGATGGTTACTTTCTTGCTTGTTTCTATGGCCTCCAACCATTCGGAAGCGTTTGGTGTGATGGGCGAGTTGTATTCTTCTGATGATGATGGTCAAATGAGATGAAATTCAGTTACACGTGTTAAGTTAGATATTGTTTTTTTCATCCATCAGACAACCCGATCTCTAATTGAAATATTGTGATCGATGAATCTTTTTTGAGTCTGGAGGAACCGTGACTGATAATTTTTGACACACGTACGTGGTAATACGCGCTGATGGAAGCACCGTCATCGTGGTGTCAAGCAATATCCGTAACGATAGTASAAGTCTGTACGAAAAGGGAAGGCATGCATGCGTTTCTTAGAAAAAAATCCATCCAAACTAGATTCGGCTTTTTTTGGTTCGTTTTGGAATCAATCGCGTTGAAGTCGTGATGTGCGTGCCAAAAACGCACGAGAAACCTCTTTTTTACGGCCTTCWTGACATATCACAGTRTTTGATTTCCATTGAGTTACCGTACTRAAACGAAAGTATTAAATATTCCACGATGTTTTCCAAGAGAACTTTTTGCGCCGTCGCCATGGCCGTTGCCATGGCTTGCTCTACCGAAGCCTTTATCCAAAAGGGAGGTGTTGCCAGCAACGTCATGATGCTCGGCAAAAAAAGCGGTGGAAAGATCGCCACCGCCCCAAAGTGAGTTTGATGGCTGAACATGCCTTCGGGTTTGGGTGAATCTTATTGATGTWTCTGGATTKTAATTGGAGTATTTTCTGTTTGCTTAAWGCTGCAGTATRAGTGTACGAATTTGAAACAAAAACCAGATCCATGTATTTTCTACACTGAAAAATTTCTTTTTGAGTGATGAATAGATCGATTCAAAATTCGACTAGCTCTGTCGGTACCAACYAGATTCGACATTACATCACCGTTCTCTTACCCACTTTTTTGTGTTTTTCTCGTGCAGGGGTGCCGTCAAGAAGAGCAGGGGAGTCAAGCTCTCTGCCTCCAAGGCTGCTGATTCCGAAGGAAAGTCAGGACTGGGAGAAACCCTTCAAGTTGGTACCTACTTCGCTCTTTGGTACCTGTTTAACATCGCCTACAATATCTACAATAAGCAAGCCCTCAACGTCCTTGATTACCCTTGGACCATCGCCACCATTCAAATGGCCACCGGTATCTTCTACTTCGTCCCRATGTGGCTGACCGGTTTGCGCAAGGCTCCTAAGCTCTCTTTCTCTGAGCTCAAGACTCTTTTCCCCATTGCCCTTTGCCACACCGGTGTTCACGTTGGTGCYGTTATTGCCCTCGGAGCTGGAGCCGTTTCCTTCGCYCACATTGTCAAGGCGTCTGAACCGGTCGTCACTTGCCTCATGAACTACCTCTTCTTGGGACAAGTTCTTCCTTTGCCTGTTTACATGACCCTTCTCCCTATCATTGGAGGAGTTGCCATTGCCTCCATGAAGGAACTCTCCTTCACTKTCCTTGCCCTCGCTTCCGCTATGCTTTCCAACGTTTCCTCGTCGGCCCGTGGTGTCCTTTCCAAGAAAACCATGTCCGGAAAGTCCATCGGCGAAAATCTCGATGCCCAGAATCTTTACGCTGTCTTGACTGCCATGTCCACTTTGGTCTTGATCCCTATGATGTTGGCTATTGAAGGAACTGGATTCTTCTCTGCCTTCAAGAACGTTGTCTCCGCCGGAGACTTCACCAACAAGTCCTTGGCTGCTCTCATGGCTCTTGGTGGTGCYAGCTACTACGCATACAACGAGGTTGCCTTCTTGGCTCTCGGAAAGGTCAACCCTGTCACACACGCTGTCGGAAACACAATCAAGCGTGTTGTCATCATTGTCGCCTCGGTTGTCGCCTTCAAGACACCAATGAGCACCGGATCGATCATTGGATCCTCCATTGCCATTGCCGGAACCCTTTTGTATTCCTTGGCCATGAACGCCTCTAAGAAATAAATATCTTCTCAAGACAAAAATTTTACAGCGCTACGCAAGCTACAGTATATAGTTAATCTTYATTYAGACAGATTCTTTTGATATGTGGAATAAATCTTTTTACCTGGTGGTTGTATCAGAAAGCCAATAAATTATGCATTCGTCATGCTTGGAGTGTTTGCTCTTACGAATATATTGGAAAACGATCGTTGATCGATGAAACATTTACACAACACTTAAATAAAAGCCAGAGTTGAGATACCTTGAAAACTCGTTGAAGACGTCGAATTATTCTTCCTCAGAACTCGTACTCATTTGTTGTTCAAATTAATGAAGTATTTGTTTATTATTATTATTATAGTGAAAGGTTCTATTTTTACAAAACAGTACTGTACCGCTGCGACTCGCTTCAAAACCCAAGAATAGCGAAAATCGTATCGTTGAGCGAGAAAGAGAAGTCACRATTGGYGCGTTGCAATGGATTGCATCTGCAAGACTTTCACTTTCGATCACCCACAACTACGTACTAACGAATCTCACCCGAACATCTTCATCGGTTAGGAATCCGCCGGTAACATTTTGGTTCATGCTCCCATTGAATAACCGCTTTTCCCATGAGTTGATATCGAAGTAGAGATACTGTTGTCCATTTGAGGGCTGTGCCGGTATGCCATCCGCCGGGCCCGCCCTCTTGAACCAAAGCTTCAGATCGCCGTGATATCTCCATTCTCTCGTATATAACTCTTGAGCAGCGTATGCCTGCAATACGTCTTTCGGCATAGCATAGAAGATGTAAAAGAGCGTCTCAGGTTGAAACTGCTGTAAATGACCGGTTTTCAGAGCTGGCGGCTGCATGTAATAACACGATGGTAGCTTTMAGATAATGAAAGAGAAAAAGTTAGCACGAGTGTTAGATTGAGGGAAATCGAAATCAGTTGAAACCAAATTCGCAATAGAGAAGTTGCAATTCATTGGAATTCGACTTCAGAATATCTAGTGATCCTTTCCACACCGAAAATTCAAGAAAGACAACACGAAACGTACCTGATAGTGCGGCTCTTTCGTATTTCCAGAGCTTTCTGACCAAGGTCCCGAAAAGGTGTTATAGATATGMTCGCTCGATCCTAGGTTCAATCCAAGCATTGTCAAATCCGAACCAAGTGCCAAAGCGTTTCGATCCGCATCCGTCATCCGAATAACTCCCAAAAGTCCCAAGAGGCCGTAATCTCCGCTGAGTGCTGTTCCGGCGGGCGTGGCTTCCGTTTTTGTCCTTTGGGCATTCGATTGGTTTTGTTGTTGCTGCTGGGACAAATTCACAACTCCTAATCCGGGTCCACCTCCACCCAATAGACCTACACTGTCTGATGATGGATCTTGGTCGTTTCCTCCGGGAAYGCCACCCGCTACTGCCAGTCGTGATGGACCGCCTACGTTCGAACCTACACCTCCGAGACCCGACTGYCCACCTTGAACCGAATTTATCACACCACCGTTGCCGCTTCCCATTAACAGAGATGACCCCGACGTTCCTACGTCCCCGTTCCCTCCTACACCTACAGGGCCGTTGGCGCCGTTGTTACTTTGCGGAGGAGCACCCGGTAATGCGGGAAAGTCTTCCGTTGCCATATTGAAATTGTTTCCGTTCGATCCTCCTTGCATGGCGAGTCTGTACAGATTGTTTTGTTGCTGTTGCTGTTGTTGTTGTTTTTGCTGTTGTGCGTTAGCTTGTTGCTGCGGGTTCGACCCGCCTCCCTGCTGTTGTAAGAGCTGCTGGTGCGCCAGTAACCGTTGTTGATCCCGCAGTGCCGCCGCCAGTCCACTGTTCGAGTTGTTATTGTTGTTGGATCCGTCGTTATTCGAGCCCTGCATAACAACAGTTCCACCCAGCGACGGAAAGTCGTTGAGATCAAAGGTACTGTTGGAGTTGTTACTGTTTCCTGACGCYGACGTYGTCCCGCTTGCCGTACCCCCCGGTGCCATTGTTGCAGCTCCAGACGTCGATGATGATGTGTCGGTCGCGACGGCTGAGTTCCCAAAGCCGTTCCCCAGAGAACCRCCTGCATTAGGAAAGTTCCCAGCACTCCCAAGCAAAAGATCGGATATGCCATTTGCGGAGTTTTGTTGGCTACCACTGGAACCACCAAACATAACGCCTGCCTACAATTGACACCAATAATGATGACTAGTGTACCTACTTGTTGGAAGGAGGAGACCAAATCCAACAAAGATACCTTACTTTCCACAACGTAAGACAACAAAGACGGCGTTCTTCTATTTCAGATGAACTCGTTCTGTTCTAATCAAGAAATGTAGGGTATTCCAATAAGTTGAAAAATAGACGCGAAAAAACATAAGAGGGGAGCAACGTGTGAGATGGGTATTATGGAAACAACAATGATTACCAATCTTGGAAGTTTATGTGATAAATTCGACTGCAAATAGTCARGTGGCTCTGCAGGAATGACTATCATAGAAMAATGATTAGATCCCAAAACGCTGGAGAGACTTTCTAGTCTACTGCAAACTTTAAATGTACCTTCGGACAATGTCGTCGAGGCGAAGCAAAAAAAGATCGCAAGTCCTTAGTCTGATTGTAGTGCCTGASACAAAAGGATAGAWGGCCGAAATCAACAGATATGCAACTCAACCAAKTTATTATGTATATTTYTGGAGAAGCAGGTGCAAAGGRCACCAAGTCGAGAGTGATGCAATGAAACAGCAGTCACTCGAGGCAACTGCTTATCTAGGATGCAACTAATCAAAACTCTGTTTCGCACCAAAGCAGTTTTCAGTACTGGCGATTACGTAATTTCTACGGCTTTGGCCTTCCAATTTCCGATAGCGATGTCTCTTCCAAAACGGGAACGTCGCCCTCGACAATCTCCGCCGATTCTCTTCTTGGTTGCACCCCTTGAGCTCCTGACTAGTGTTTTTGTAATGAAACCACAAAAMTTACGAAATGCTCCACAATGTCATGGCAAACAACAGGCTTACCTTGGATGCTTTTTTTGCTCGTTAGCTGTATTAACACCAGCAATTGCTCGGCTCAGAGCTGCGGAGGGAGCGCCAGACTGCTCAACGACGTTGTACCGGTACGTGCCGCACGGAATTGTACCTTGTCGTACTGCTCTTCTTGTACAGAATAAGGAGATGCTACTYTCCGTACTGAATCGTACAGTAAGTACAGTAAAAATGTAATGGAGAAATGGCAGACCAAGAAAGCGCTTAACGCATTCATCCACACCATAAAATCAAACCCTGCGGTATTTATWTCCCGTGCGAAAACGCGCACATGATACTGTATGTGATGAACGATAGCTACGTTCGTACGTACGACTTGTACCAGAACGAGTTTTTAGAACGTTCGGTACTCGTACGTAGCGTACGATACGATACG